CAGTCAGGATAACCACACTGCTCCAGGGCCTGTCTTGTGTGTGACTTCTCTTTCTCCCTGGCTCCTGGGTTTGTGGGGACACTGTCTGCACTGTGGTACATAGTTCTGATGACTCCTAACTTCCAGTGGGTGATGGGAATCAAAATGCAAATACTGGTCTGTATGGGTATGGGTTTGCGATACACGTCAGTTTCCAACCATCCTCCATCCGAAACTGAGACATCACAGTCCAGGAACACCAACCTGCCATYTTTYACATCCTCTCGTGTGAACTTTATATATTTATCCACAGAGTTGATGTGATCAGTGAAATGTTGGACTTCCTGGGMTTTAATTTCAACCCAGGTGTCATCAACATACCTGAACCAATGGCTCGGTCCTGTAAAGGACATCAGAGCTCTCTTTTTCCACCTCCTCCATGTAGCAATAGGGGAAACTGGGGAGCCCATAGCACACCCATGTTTCTGCCTATAGTATTGCCCCCCATATGTGAAATAGGTTGATAATAAGGTTGGTAATAAATCTTACACAGTTGGAAAGCCTGTTAATGTTCTTGCAAATGGTGCCACATTTGTAAGGAACAGGCCTTCGTGGGATGATCAGTAGAGATGAATATGTGGGTTGTGCACATGAAAAATTAGCCAAATCTTCTCTGCCAAACAGCTTATGTTGTTGTTGCTTCTGACTCCTGTTTTGAGCTTCTGATACCTCCAGGTGCTGCCAATCAGGTGCCCGATATAAGATTTATTGCCAAGAAGCTTTATTACAAAGAAATAATCTACCAAAAAAAATTTGCCATATTTTTTGTACAAAGTATCTCTCAAGCTGGTTAACATTTGGCGTCAACCAAATGCAAGATGGCCGCTGCAGCTAACTGACATTAGCCAACACATAATTAGCTATCATTCTGTGGATTTTACAGATATCAAACTAAATTTTGATGTGATAGTAGCTGAGAGTCGATTGCAACGCATACTCTGAGAGTGACAAATTACAATTTTACATTTCCCAACATGAGATGATTTTATCTGAAACACCTGAGTGGAATTATACCAGGTGATGTGCACTCCTTCAAGGAATGCTAGATGTTTGATTTGAAAGTGACTGGAGAAGCGTGTGTGTGTGTGTGTGTGTGTGTGTGTGTTTGTTTGCTGAAAATCTTCTGGCATCCATTAAATGAATGTCAACTCTCTGTGTCCTCTAGTAACACAGAAGGTAACTGGTTAACCAGATTAAGAGTAAGATGGTGCGTGTTCTCAGCTGCGGTGRTAATCCAAGATCTGCTACATTTAATCTAATCACGTCCCTCGTGCTTGAAGCCTTTGCCCCCAATGACAAGAGGCATTTCCCTCTGGCTCACTCAGGCAGCGCACATGGCCCGAGCGCTTTCACGACGTCTTATCGGATCACTCAACGTCTCTGCGGCTCCTCGGGCGTATCTCCTCGCGGGTGGCGCAATTACACTGATTGGAAATCACTTTCAAAATGAAAAGGGAACATTACAGCTCACAGATAACACCGTGTACAAACTCCAAGTGTGGTTTTTTTTTACGACTTGTTCTTTTTAACGCGGCGGTGGCCGACTGCAGCTGCAGATGACAGAGACAAACGAGGACGGGATCGTGTGTGTGCTGAAGTCAGTGGTTCCAGATGGAAGAAAGCTGAACTCACTCACCTGGCATGTGCCTGCCCCGCATCCCGCCAGCATCTCTTTAAACAGAGTGAGTTTTCTGTAAAAAAAAAAAAAAAACACTAGATCAGATCACAGTTTGACAGCATCAGAGGCGGACATCTTTATTTTTACAAGCCTCCGGCGGCGCTTGTGATGCTAATCTTTGTCTTCCACACGAACGTGTCAGGAACAAGAACAAATAAATAATTCACAAGCAGAGCACCAAGGCACAGACAAGTYAATCATTCATCCACCGGCATGTTTGTTGCCACAGCGACAGAGACAGATGCCCCAGAAAGCCGTAGGTTTTATCTGTGCGGGCGGCGCTCGTGCCGGACAGCGGGCGCTGATGACTGCTGCTACTTGGTAACCTTGATTTGAGGCGACCACTCATGCAAGTAATCGTATTCCTAAAGACACACGAGGTAACTGCTCGGTGCAGCAGGTGATGGAAAAAAAAAGGTGAAGGATTACCGGGAGCCCCGGGGGTGGGGAGGAGAGGTGCAGGCAGCTAATGTATTGAGGTTGTACGCATGTTAGTGAACACGTTGTTGGGCCAATGAAGGGGAGTGGGTGTGTTGTAAGTCTGCCTGTCGGCGCTTTAATGCCTCACCCATCCTTGGAGAGGTGATGTCTGAAGAAGTCGTTAGCAGCCAATTTAATGGCCTTCTCTGGCGTGACGAGTGTTAGGTTCACCGCAGCTCCTGCGAGGATAGAAGGAGAACCACAGAGAAAACAAAAAGGCAAAACAGAAGATTAAACATCTAGCATTTCTATAGCGTTAAGGTTTTTTTCACTGGTTTAGTCCGTGTGAGAGATGTGTTGGTTGCATATAGAGAGGTGTGAATTGGAGTGAAGCTGATTACGTTCTGGAAAGCTGAAACCTGAGACTCCCTTCTCTGGTTCCGGCCTTTGTTTGCTTTCTTCACTGCTCTCAAACAATCCGTCTTCTCTGTCTGAAATGTGCACTTTATTCTCCTCAATAGAGTTCCTTATTCTGAAAGGTTGAGTCTTGATCTGAAGAATGAGTTCTCATGTGTTTGAAGTGAAAAACCTCCTTGAATGAATCCTGAAACAAACACTAACTGTTTGCTACATCYTGGATGACTAAGAATCCACACCAACCCTAATCATTCTCTTCTACTGAACAGTTTAGTTATGAGTAGGAGTAATGAGTAGTAGTAGTAGTAATGAGTTAGGATTAGCAACCAGTAAATCAAATTCTTACCTCGATACATCCCAAAATACCCCTCTGACCTGATGGTCTTAATAAGGCAATCGGACCTGAAACATAAAAAAACAACGGTGAGTCAAAGTGCTGCCAAACAAGCTGAGAGAGAACTGATCACAGTGACAGTCAGATATTTCCTACATGCTGGTATAAAGGCGAGATCCATTTTGCTGGTTTTGCAGACGAGTCTTGGCCAGGTCAATGGGAAACACACAGGTGACACCGATTAGGCCGGCGATCCCTCCATTGATCAATTTGGCAGGCAAACTGGACGAAGACAAAGCCCGAAGACAAAAATATTAAATGTTGAAAGTCATTCAATTAAGGCWATTTTTATTATTATTATTATTATTATTATTATTATTATTATTATTTTCAGATTTGATCATGTCTAATCTTACCTGATCTGTTTATCAGCCATTTATCTAAAGCCCCAGCCGGTCACACTTCAACACGTCTGTCACTCAGGTGCTTTTGTTGCGTTTGGTTGGTATGTAAAGTGCCGCTCTGCTGTCTGAGATGAATTAAATGAAGGGGTTGCTTCTGCCCTCTTGCTTCTGTTCAAGTAGTGTCAGTTCAAGTAATWCTGTGAAGGTGGAAAAAAAGAGAAAAGCTGATTCACTCAACATTCTCAGAAAAAGACACTTGTAAAGAAACAATAGGATCAGTACATTCAAAGCAGGGGGGGTCAAAATTCCAAACTTGGTCCAAGCCAAGGGTCAACCTCTGTCAATATTTATTGAAAAAATGTTATATAACTAATTGTTCTTATAGAAATACAAATGATCTTTTCCCACTTATATTCTATTTAGCATTTAAGAAAATACACAACCAATAAAGAAAAAATATGGCATTTTAAAAGCATTCATTTCTTATGTCATACTCTARCCAACAACTTTTTGATTTATTACATGATCTTAGAGATAAGTTTTATCACAACCCAGCAAATGAGTTAAAAAAAGAAAGCCCTCACTAAAGTTCCAATTATTTGACTTTTAAAATAAGGGGAACACAGAAAAAAAAAAAAAAAGTAAATTCTCTGTTGCTCTTTCCACACCAAAATCAAAGATTACTGAAAAATTCAAACTTCACTTTCTTGGCTTGAAAATTGGCCAGCAGCCACGAGAAGAAGGCATTAAACACAGCGACAAGACAAAAAAAAAGAAACCATAAAACAATTTTACACTTAAAAAAAAATTCTCTTTGGGGCCAGATAAAACGTTAACGAGGGCCTTGAGTTTGACATGTGATTTAAAGTAACAAGAAAAAAAGACTGACAGAGACTGCGGTGTCTTTACAGTAAAAAAAGATGCTTCCAATTTCCCCTTTTTCCCCTCTCCACCCCCTTTGCTGACCAATCACAACATGCCTCTGCAAGTACAGCTTTTCTCCTCCTCTCTCCTTCCCACCAGCAGCCCCCCCACCCCCCACCCGCCATCATCTCCCTCAGTCACGACTCTCCAAACACAGCTTTTCCACCTCAGATCTTTGCTGACCTGTGGCTTTGTAAGTGTGACGCGCACACGAGTACAAACGCAAATTCCTCAGACGTCCTCTGTGTGAGCCTCGACAGCACGTGTGTGTATTTATGTTTCTGGACTGCTTTATCTGGCACTGAAAAGCGAGGACAATGTGGTGTGTTTAGTTTGAAAGGGGGACTGAAGGTCTTCAGTCCTCTCTGCTTCTTGGAGCTGCACGGCTCACCTTGCTTTGTTTTCTCTCTCAGCAGTGACACTCAGCACATTTTATCATGCAGTCCGTCATTTCCTCTGTTCTCTGAACCTGACTTCCTCAATAAAAAAACAACTTAACTCTTTAGTCAGCACAAGAGTTTTCATTTAACTATACATACTCCTTAATCAGCACAACCCTGAGTAAAGTAAAAAACGGTGTTGYGTCAAATGTTAATAACACAATCAAATCAACAAGGCTTATAAACCATTAAACAGTTTAATTGACAACTTAACTTAGTCAATGTGTTACTGTATGTTAGGAGAAGGAACCACAGGTTAAAACAATAGTAAATGAAAGAGTTACAAATAAAAAAAACAGCTTGATGAGCATTTTGTAACAAATTGGGTTAATTGGCAACAAGTTTGTTGAGTGCATGCAAAGAGAAGCTGAATCTCTTGGAAGTGAAGATGAGCAGAGGTTCTATGAAAATCTGTCTGAAATGGAACAATTTCACAATGTTCCTCAAGAGAAAACCAGGAAAACACTGACTTCATCGTCCACAGTTCATAATATCATCAAAAGATTTCMAGAATCTGAAGAAATCTCTGAGCTCAAAGGCTGAAAGTCAATATTGGATGTTGGTGAWCTTCGGACCCTCTGTTCGAAACATCACTGCATGAGCTCAGGAACATTTCTACAAAACACAGTTTGTGGTCAATAAATGCTGGTTAAAGCTCCATCATGCAAAGAGGAATCCATATGTGAACACCATCCAGAAACTTCACCATCTTCTTTTAACCAAAGCTCATTGCCAAATGGAATATCAGTTCTGTGATCGAACAAATCAAAAGTAAAKTAAAAACATTTCGGGTAAGCCGCAGACATCACATCTTCATACTACAGAGAAGGACCATTCAGCCTAAAGGGCTCGACACACGGGCAGCGACAAACTACAGCGATTAGCGGCTGTCATCRCAGCCAGGGTGAAACCCGACACACAGGACGCGATAGTGATCGCAGCGTTGCGAATCGCGCTCTCAGGTCGCTTGTCTTCACAAAATTTGATTGGTTCTTGAC